TTTGTAACAACTAAGGCAAAAATGTAATTAATTCAGAAACTCTTTTCAGGACCCCACCTTGATGTTTCGGGACCCCACTTTGGGTCCCGACCCCAACTTTGGGAAACACTGCTCTATAGGAGTCTATATGTACATGTATCTTTATATAGAGACAAACAAATATGTGATATAATTTTTAAAYATCAATGGGAGAGAAATAAAGTTTGGCATCTGAGATCAAATACTGATCCTACAGGGAAAACATGGAAACATCATCCAGAAAGACCCAAATTCAAAACCAACTTCATGCAAATAGTTTTCAGTGTAGTGGATTAATGATGTAAATAAACATATCTATAGCTTATTTTGAAGAACTATTTAATGAATAAATTAACTTAAATGGGTTAAGTGAAACAATACATAACATTGAGTATTTTGCTAACTTTTTCAGTGGGCCATTTCGACAACTATAAGGACAATTTGTTCATGTGTGGTTTGTTGGTTTGTTTGTTTTATCAAAAATAAAGTTTTATTGTTCTTTTTTCTTTATTCTACATGACACGTTTTGGACCTAATGTTTCACTGTTGCTTTCAGAATTAACACCAGTGGGCGCTCTTAGTCTGCAGAGAAATAATTGAAAACTGTCGCTGAAAAATTAGATTTTTTTTTTTTTTTTTTTTAGGTAGGCCTAATGCATGGTGCACACAACTTTCTGTGACATTTCAATCCAAGATGGCCGTTACAGACATATAATCATAGAATATGTCAATGCTGACGCTTCAAGTACATGTTGAGAATAACTTTCAGCTGATACCACACACGCTTTCCCTCAATATTTGTAAGTAACTTAGCTATTTTTGTGTTGGCAAAGGTTGAATAGCTGTGGCAGCCATCTTGAACTGTATTGACTCCAAACATTGAGCAATCATAGATGTACATTCAATGAAAATTTAATTAAAATAAATCCAGTGGTTCATTAAAAATTTTGCTAACAAAAATACAGCGCTGACTCCAATAGTTAATGGTAAAGTTTAATAAACAGATCTTACTGGATCAAATTACACTTAGACTATGGGTTAGGGGAAGAGTCTCAGCTACTACCRCACCCCATTTGAGTTTAAACGTTTTAAAATTGACTGAATCTGCACCATTTTGGTGTTTACCAAAGTTGCTCAGCTGTGGCGGCCATCTTGAACGGGACTGACTCCAAAAGTTAATCAGTTGTAGATATTTTTGTTTATTCCTGAGCATTTCATTCAAATCTGTCCACTGGTTCTAGAGATATTTTGCTAACCACCCAGGTAAACATGCACACACACAGGAGACAAGAAGAGTTCACGAAGGTAACAAAAATAAACATTGCTGTGATAAAATCTTTATGACTGTAACTCTTTGACCTGAGAAACGGGGTGAATTCCTCTGAACTTTACTTTCAGTAAGTTACTCATCTTGTTTTATGGCATATCAACACAGACAGCACCCACTTCTCAGTTTACTACAGCCTGAATGACTCATCACACACACACACCACTCCCATTTACACAGACACACACTAAAATGTACCATTTGTGACYACACTTACGAGAAACCTCAACTTCCTTATATTTAATCTTAGYCTTCTCTTTTACAGACTAAAGCCAGTCAGYGTAAAGATWAWATACTGATTATACAAATATGTTCAAAGTCTAAGAATATATTCACACTTTAGCACTAAAACTTTATTTCCTTTTATATTAACATCTTATTACTGAAGAGAAGTTTGGGGAGGGAAGCAGAAAACAAAAACTAATAACTGAAAACAATTTTTTAGATAAAAAAAAACATCCTTAACACATAATCAAATACAAATACAAGCATTAAAAGCAGCAAAAATAAGACTTTACACTTCAATTTAATAATCAGAGTTTTAGATTTGAAGAAAACAGTGCCACACACATTACTAGTTTTTAATACGTCTTTATTTTCAGAGGAACTGATGTAAATAATTCTATTCTTAATACCTTCATTTGGTTACAGCTTAATGGGAATTTTATCATTTTTGTTGGCAGCCTCACAGAAGAACAATAAAGTCCTACACATGTACTCATACGCACGTCGTCCCACTTTCAAGGAATTAAACTGTCTTCTTAATCTGCAGCTCATGGCCTCAGTAATGAGCTCAGCTGCTCAGAGCTCCTCTGTGGATCAGCTGAAGACCTGCAGCATGATTCACTCAGTGAAGACACATGATCCAAGTGGGTGAAAATAGAAGCTGGTCTAACACAATTAGAACTGAAGACTGGATGTGGCCCAAAATGTTAAAAAAAATAAAGGTTTAAGACTAAGAATTTGTTTTTATTTAATTTCCACATATACGATTACTGTATATTTAAAACCTGGTTTATCAATGTCTCTTTTATCATCATTGTGAAAAAAAAACAGCAGGACTCAAATATAATGCATATCAAATACTTGCATGGACTAAGAATTTGTTTGAGTCAAAAAAGTTAAAAAATAAAGTCCTAAAATGTAAAAAATGCAACATTTCCACAGTGCTGGTAGGGAAAGCTCCTGGTTTCAGTCAGCGATGTGGGGGCAGAGGTGTGAAGTCTCAAGTAATCTGTTTCCTATCGAGGCAGCGGTGCACAGGATCTGATGCAACAAAACTAACCCAGAGCTTCTGAGGAAGAAAGGTAAAAGGAGAAACTAAAAGCAGACAGGAAATGAAATGAAATAAATTCTTGCATCAGCCGAGAGATAAACAAATCTACAGAATGGGCTCAGAAATATTATTCCTTTTGCCCAAATCTATTAATRTATAAGTTATCTGTAATGTCAAGAAGATTGATAATAATAAAAAAATCCATATCTGACACAAAATCAGCAGGTTTCCCTCTCTTATTGAAGGTTAATGTGACATTTTTACTGAAWACATAGCTGCATTTCAGAATCTCATTTGTGAAACTGGAAAACTTTAGTAAACTATTTCAAACTGCATCAGATAAACTTTTTTTTTAACGTTTGATGGTTGCAATAATTTTATAAGGAGCTGTAACATAATTTGAAATAAAAAGAGTTGCAGGCAGCCGAACAGTCTGTGAAAGAGCTGCACAATATTATGAAAAAAGAAAATGACAATATACACTCACCGGCCACTTTATTAGGTACACCTGTCCAACTGCTCGTTAACACTTAATTTCTAATCAGCCAATCACATG